TAAGACAATTGTATTTTATAAAAATAAATAATTTTAAAATTTTTACCATAAAAAAATATTTTTCAAAATTATTATATTTTTTTAATAAAATTAATAATGAATATTCTATTATCAGTCTTGGAATGGGACATTCTGAATCCAGAACGACCCGTTCTGCAACCAGAACGGCCCGTTCTAATGTACTAGTGGTGTGTTAATTTTGCATTTAGAATGGTCTGTTTCAGATGCAAAATTAACACACCAAGAGTGCATCTAGAACGGTCCGTTCTGGTTTCAGAACGGGCCGTTCTGGTTCCAGGTGTTTTCACAAAATTTGGCGTCCACGTGGTATCTACGTATGTATCTACGTGACCAACAGTTAACTCCATTTAAATAATTTGGACGGAAGTCCCATATTAAAACCAATTAACTTATGAGGGACCAAACTGAGACAAAAAATAAAAGTGAGACTAAATTTAAACAAACAATTATTATAAGGGACTAAAATATGTTTTTAGCGTATGAAGTATTAAATTATTGGATGTGGTCATAATTCATACTCAAGATAAATAGTAATTAGAGGAAAAATATTTAGTAATTAATAATAATATTGAAATGAAAATCTAATAATTATTAGTAATTATTTATATTATAAAATTTTATTAATAACAAATATTAATATATATATATTATTTTAATTTTATCGATATATTTACATTGTTGTTAATATATTAACATATTTATATTGACAAAATTTTTATTTAAATTTTAAATATAGTAATTACTATTATTAGTATCAATAACTATTAATTAATAAAATGTAAATGTATTAGTTATTATTAATTATTACTATTAATTTATTTGAATTTTAAATTTAGTAGCTATTAATTAATATATTTTATTAGTTTGTTTGGTTCATTTGCTTATAAATTTTATATTTTTAGATAATTTTTTAATTTTAATAATTATTCAGTATTAACTTATTTTATAATAACTTTTATATACAGAAAATCTCTGGAGGAAAAAATATACCGTAGGAGTTGTTCCCGTTATACTATTTAATTATGTAATAGTTTATTTTATAATAATATTTATATATAAAAATATTTTAGAAAAAATTATTGGAGAAAAGTTTTGGAGGGAAAAATTATTTCCTCTATATATACTATAATTTTTTTATCAATAATAAATTAATTTTTTATCTGGTAAAATAGTTTTTTATATTTATTTCATTTAAAAAGATGATGCAATTATATAAATTTAATGTCAAAAATTATATTTGCTATAATATATGTAAAATGTAGTAGTTATCAGTATTGATTATATATATATGTTTTTTCGATAAATTAATTATATTTTGTATTAGTTTATATTTGGTTTTGTTGAAAGAGGTTTTGAAAGGAAGAAATTGAGAGTTTTGAAGGGAAAAATTGTTACAAAATTTCTTTGCTTTATTTTATTAATAAAAATTGTTATAAAACTTATTCTCTTAATATTATTAATAAATAAAGTAACACTTTGATGATTTTATGTCTAAATCATATATGAACATTAAATTTTAGTTAAAAAATCAAAGGGTGGAAGCATTAATTTAAACTAATCACCTTTAACTCCTTTTTTTTTTAATTTTTTTTTTTTTTTTTTTTTTTTTTAATCATGCAGTATTACTTTAGTATGAGATGGCTCAGTATAGTATGAGTATGAATCCCACTGGTCTGTGTAGAGCATATGGTGCAATGGTTTTGTCACTGTGAGGTCTCAGGTTCCATCCATGACGTCCTCAAGTATCAATCACATTCATCATGGCAGGCCATACTGTACGTTAAAAATACTAAAAAAAAAGAAAAAGAAAAAGAAAGATTCCTTTGTGCTGATAAAGTTTCCCATTATGGATTTAAAAAGATGTGTTAATGATTGAGGATGATCCATGTATGTGTTCAATCTCCACCACACGACTTTTGCAGCTTTTATGCAAAGGAGATGCTTCTCTTTCTATGCTTGGACCGCTGCTCTTTAAATTGCCCAGATACACATACACATGCCACTCATTTTCTTTATTTGTTTTTCTAAAATTATTTTGATTCTTTATATATAAAATGTTTATTTTCATCTTTTATATTTTATATAGTTCAATTTAGCCATTTTAAAGTAACCATACTTTTTAATTTTATGACATAATTTTGAATGATTCAATTTGGTCTTTAAGGGTAGTTTTGGTTCAATTTGTTAATTGCATTAATGAATCTCCTTTGTACATGTGACATGAACCTAGGAAGCTTTAGAATTCAATTTACGAACCCAAAAACAAATGAGTTTTCATTCACCATTTCTCTACTACATCTCAAACTCGATGTCCTTATCTTGGGCCACGAGGGTCAGTTGAAACAGTGATCCAATTTATACGTTTGACAAAAGGCCCAAGTAGAACAGGCCCAATAAGTATGGGAGAACAGAATCCGATAAAAATCTTAACCCAGCCTTTCATTTCATCTTCATTCTTCATTCTTCCTCAATAGTTACTCCCTCCAAGTCCTGTATGTAAGAAACAAATAACCCATTCATCAAAAACCAATAAGATTAGTTAAGGTGGTTAATCTTTATTAATTATGTCATGAAATTAAATTTTATTCCAAAAACACCCTTAGAATTGGATGATTTATAGAATGGTTACATTTATCGGCACTACATCTAATTCAATGGATAACTTTTTTCTCCAATAAGTATAATTTCTATGGTTAATAGATCAATAAATGCATCCACTTGCATGAGGGTAAAAAGGAAGTTGGTAATTGTTACACTGTAAAATGGGTCTTTGTTTCTTATAATTAGGACCAAAAAAGAATATCTATTTTTTATATATATATAGGACCAGAGAGAGTATTACTGTTGTACATAGTGTGCTTTTTTTCGTTGTTTGTACTGTTGTGAAATGGGTCTTTGTTTCTTATTTCTGAATGGATTTAGTTCTGTGATAATTTAACATTTGGATTATGTAGAAAAGGGCCAATCATTTTTTATTTAGTTTTATTGTAGTATGGTTGACCGTTTTTTTTGGTACATTTTATGTGACATTGTTATGTAATTCTATTACATTCCATGTTAGGAAATAGGAAATGAAATGGATTTTCTCTTTATGTCTGAAATAGTAGGTTAATATTCTTGTCTATCTTGAACCAGACTAACCTTGTTGGTGAATCGGACATTGCTTCTTTGGTCCAGCGGATAAAGGTTGGTGTCTTTCTCTTCCAATTGTATCTGGGAGTCTAGTTTTTTATTTTAATTTTATTTCATTATTGTGCCCCATATGAACGAACAATTAAATTCTCTAAAATTTATTGAATAATTATATAAATGTTAATATTTGAATTGGAACATACCTTAAACCAATAGGACTGCCTGGAGGAATAGGTGGGAATGGTGAAGAAAGAATGCTTGGGAAATCTATCAAACTTATTTGAGGGATAATCAAGTGAGGGGGAGAGCATATACTAAGGGGAAGCATATAATAAGGGTGAGAGCCTTAGAATCCTAAACCCTTAAATGCTTGATATGTATGATATGAAATGCATGAACTTGATAAATTGTCTGATATGCATAAAACTGTAGGTATGCTATATTATCATAAACAATTTGATAGATTATATTTGTCATCATCAAAAAGTGGGAGATTCTTAAGTTAGACAAAGAAATTCCCAACAAGGTTTTGAACATGACAAAAATAATGCATATTGTTATTTCTAATGTATGTGTCAGTGTTTCAGAGAAATATAAAAACAAACTGAAAAATAAAGTACGCGTTATTGCACATACCATGTATGGTTGAGCTAAAAGAAACATCAGATGAATTGATCAAGCATCAAGACTAAGCCTGACAAAAGCCAGACGGAAATACAAGACAAGACATACTACCAGTCAAAATCTTGAAGTATCAGACGAAAGGCCAAAACAAGCATCAAACAAGTCTAAGTCAAGAACAAGACAAAGTTGGAGCTTAATGGTCAACTGGACGAAGGTCAAAGCATCAGGCAATGGATAATCTAAGACGAAGAAACATTCCAGATGAAATTATAAGTTTTCCATCTGCACAATTGACCAGACAAAAGGAAAAGTCAAAGTCTATCTTTTAGACAAAGAGTCAAATTCCAAACGCAGTTGAAGAATATTGAAAAGCGTCTGAAGTCCACTATTCACAACGAGAAATATCATATATCATCTACACTCATAAGAAAAGCACACAAAGTCATCAAAAGTGTGAAAAGAAAGAATAAAAATATAAGAGTGCAAATTCACAAGTCAAAGTTGCGAGTGTCAGAGCAAGTACACCTACTTTTCAGAAAAAGACAATGCCTATGCAGCTACACTAACAAAAAGAGAAAAGAAATACCTAGCTTATGATTGTAGTCAGACATAAAAGAGAACAAACTACGCAAAGGACTTCATGTAACACAGATTCAATAAGCAAACATTTAATGCAAGATCAAATGCATTAAATGAAAGATCTACATAGCCATGAATGAACTGCTATCTACACCAACGGAAGCTCCGCATCAATGGTCACATTCAAATTCAAACAACGGGTAGATTTATCACAAGGCTATAAATATCAAGACCTGAGAAGAAAAGTGAAGCAACTAGCAAAGCAAATGTTAAAACAATATTTTGATAGTAAGGTTCAGATTTATCTTAGTGAGTGTTGAAATTATCCTATCCTCTCTGTGAGAGTAATATACACACTCAAAAAACAAATTTCTGTAACTAAGGTTGTATACCTTAGCGAGTGTAGAAACCATCATATCCTCTCTGTGAGAGTTATACAGAAACTCAAACAATTCATCCCTTGTAAATCCTGAAGAGGCTATTTGAAAGAATAGTTAGAGAACCAGAAGTGGTTTAAGAATACTAGCGTCGACGAGTGAAGTTGACAAACCAGGAGTGGTTGAGAATACTCGAGGAACCAGAAGTTGTTTAAGAATACTAGCGTCGACGAGTGAAGTTGACAAACCAGTTAGCTATTATTAATTTTACTTTTGGATGTCATAACAATGGAAGTTCCCTTCAATTATTTATCTCTCGTATTTTTAACCTCCATACAGAATGTTAACCACTATACAGAATTTCATACACCAATCAAGCACAACCACTACAGTACGTCCTCGCATAATTATCATACATTCTTCCAAGTTTATTTTGCAGAAGCTATAACCAGCGGAATGTGACATTGGGCAGTAATTAAACTAGATGAATTCCAGTCTATTTTACATTAAAAATCAAAATATGATATAAATCTCAATAAAGCAGAAATTTTTTTCTATATTATTATTATTTTTAATAATTATGTTCTTTTAAAACCGTCCAAGGTTCACATCAAACAGGGACAACAACAATTTTAAATGTCATTTTTTCCTTCCATTATACTAGATCCTACTCTATCTACAAACTTAACTGTAGCATTTACCATAGTTCTATGCAATGCCTCCAGTAACTACAAAATATGATTAAAAAACATGAATCCGGTGCACGTATGGATACCCCACCCTTAAAAAGAAAAAAAGAAGGAAGAAAATCTAATTAATAGCTTAGAGACCAACAGTGTATGATGCACAACATGGAATTGAAATTGGAGATGCCCGTTTGCCATCTAAAATGGCAAATTTGATTATATCTCTTCATTTGGTTCACGTAATGTGAAATAAAATTGTTAGTTTTTTATTTAAAAAATTTTTGAGGACACAATTGCTAGTTCACACTCAATAGTCATAATTTTCTAAAGACATCATGTACTAAACATCAAAAGTTGAAAAATAAATTAAACATTAATTTCAGGTGCAATATTAATTTTTTAATTAAAATAATTTTAAAAAATATAAATTTGTCATCAAATATTTTATATAAAAGGTTAAATTATATTTTTAGTCTTTTATCTTATTTCTTATATTTATTTTAGTTATCTAATTTTTAAAATGTTCATTTTAATTCTTTATCTTCTAAATTTATATCAATTTAGTCATTTTAATTTTTTTAAAACTAATTTAAGACTTAATACTTGTTTCATAAAATTTTTGGATCTGAATGTTAATTACATTTTATAATTTTTATATTTAAATTTAATGTTATAAATTTCATATCTTGAATAAATTAAAAAGATTTATTTGAAATTATGTTACAAAATTTAAATCATTATTTTAACATGATCAAATTATTGAAAAAGGGAGCAGCTGATACTGTTTCAGTTGTGACTAGCAAGCGGAATGTAGCATCATCAAAGCAAAATGGTGCAGCTGAGGTGGACACACTTAAGGCTGATTGGCTCAAGGCTACACAAGCTTTTGACGCTGCAAGCACAAGTCCAGCTGGTTTAGAAGCTGCTAATGCGCTCTGGTTCAAAGCTAGAGAGGCTGACGCTGCATTTCTGGCTCGCCAAAATAACTCAGCCGAGACAGAGGCTGGCAATTAGTGCCTCAACAAAATTTGCTAACAAGGTCAAGATACTTAGCTTTTCTTTTTTTTCTTCTTTACTTTGCTTGAGGGTTTTGGTGTGGTCCCCATCTGTACTTTTATATTTGAACTGCTAACTTAATTCGGATTTCTTGCACACAAAGCATATCCATCTTTTTTTTAAAAAAAAAAACCACAAAAGTAACGTGATAAAACAAATTTAATGATAATTTTAAGGAAAAAAAAAAAATCAAACATTAATGCTTAACCCTAAACTCGCATAAGTTCATTTGTCCAAAAAAACAGAACCCATAGAAATTCGTTCATTTTTCACTTTCCTGATTTTCGGCTCCGTGTGCCCTAGCTCCGGTCTCTCCCGTAGCCACCCAATCACCGAAAATTGAAAAGGTAAGTTTGTTTGTGATTTTTCCATTTTGGATATTTCATTGCTTATCGTGTTAGTTTTCTGCTGACTGCTGCTAAAAAAATCGATGATTAAATTTTTGCGCCGCATATCTGAAACATTGAGGAAATAAATTTGTGAAATTGGGAACAAATCGCAAGATATATATGTGTGTGTGAGAAAATGTTGTAATTGCATAACAGATTTCACTTGCTTTGTTAGAATGTGAAAATACATGTTCTTTGGAATAATCTCTCTGTCAGTAACGATTTTAATTCAATTTTTCAAAAAAAATTTATATTTAGGTAATATTATGAATATCAATTTCACTTCTGGAGGATACTTATGAAACTTTTTTTTTTTTTTTTTGAGAGCGGGGGTGGGGGGAGTTAACCAAATTATACATCTTGCGAATGGGAAAATTTTGACAAATGGGAGCATAGATTTGGTTCATATTCTTTACAATGGGTGCATTTTCAATTTCTGATCTAGACTATTGAATATAGCAGCATGATAGAACTGAAAGAACAAGAAGAATATTGTGAATATAACACTCACTAATCCAATATAGACTGCACTAGCTCTTGATCTGGACTGCGTTTTCGGTTTCAGTTTCACAATTTAGTCATATATCATAGAACGATACGAATGGCTTTAAAGCAATAACTTGTTTATTTCAGATATTGATGTAACTTCCATAATTGGTGTATAAGAATCTTGATTCTCATTAGGCACACTGATCTTAGCATCATTGTTATGGAGTTGGTTATGTTGTCTTTCTGAAAAAAAAAAAAAAGATATTGTGGAATCATTTGAGAACAACAGTTATTTTTCCATTGTTTTGGATATAAAAGCTTGAACAATTATATGTGAGGGACTCGATCCCCTTAAGCAAGATTTGTAGTTCAAGTTTTGTGAATATAAAAGACGTGACTAATAGAGGAGATCCTACCAAAGGTGGCCAGTTGGATTTTTCGGTGCAGATTAGTCATTGATAAAATCAGTTGATATTTTGCACCAATGATATGTTTACTAAAAAAAATTATGTGGGGGATGCTGACATTAACCTCTCTTTAGTGTTCTGGTTTCTCATAGCACTAGTCTTGAAGTGTGTCCAATCCTGATATTTTACAAATTGTGATGTGATACATAGATGCATTTATGAATAATTTTTGTGAGTGATACCAATGTTAGAACTCAGAAGAGGAAAGGATATGATGAAATATATAGACAACCTTGTATATATATCAATTACTTTCTTATAACACGTGTAAAAAAAATTAATGTCTTTCCATCACTACATATTACGAATCGATCTTACTTATTATTTGCTCAATATTTTTTTTCTTAAGGGTTTTTAACATGCTCAAAACTTCACTCTCACAACAAATATGGTCTTGACAAGTATTTTTAAGGCAGAGGAAGAAAAATAACTTAGAAGTTTAAGATCTTAAAGTCAATGTCTATTTATTTTTAAATATTGTTTTTGTTATTGGCATGGGCTTCTATTGATTGAAGAAATAGGGTTTAATTATCGTTCCATTATATATATATATATTATTTTTTTAAAAATATTTATTTCCTAAATTAAAGTCAATTTAGTCTTTCGGTTTTAAATCTTATTTGACTAATTCAAAATTTGAAACTTATCACATAAGATTCATTTATATAAAAATTATTAAATACAGTTAAAGTTCAAATCAAATGTGTTATAAACATGATAAAATTGAAATTTTTAAAAACAAAATATGTCATATTATTTACAAGTTCATGAGATTCAATTTTACATGATTTTCACTATATTTTTTATCCTGAATTTAAACGTCAATTATATTTTATAATTTTCATATAGTGAATTCAATATTATAAATTTTTTACGTTTTAAATCATTCAAAAATTAATTCAAAATCATATCATAAAATTGAAAATAATTATTATTTTAAAAGAATCAAGTTGATTCGAATATAAAAGACAAAAAATCATATTCATAAAATGCGATTCAATTTCAAGATGTCGTGGAATGTTAGAAGTGCAAACTTAATAAGTTACCCTTATTTAAAAGTCAAAATCTATTTTATTACTATTATCTTTGTTATCTATATGGTGTATATACACGTAATTAAATTAATAGGAATATGTTTGTGATGAAAAAAACTCATCCTCACTCAATAAAATTATCCACATATCTAAAGATCTTAAATAAAATACACACAAATTTTATTTCTCGAATCTCGACTCTTTATGAGATTAAATTTGAATACATTTTAAATAAGATATTATTTGTTATTGATACAATTTTAGATTTTAGATTTTGTTTTTAGTAGTTAATAATTAACATAATCTCAACAAAATAAGAGTGTTAATAAGTGAGATTTATTAGGGATTTCAAATTGATTATAAGTCTATATATTGATATGTTTATGAATTTCTATGACAATTTTTCATCTTGGGATTCTGTAAGGTTGAATTTTTCTATAATTTTCAGCAAATATTTTCAACAAACATGGCTTCTTGTTCCACCAAACTGACGATGAAATTACTGATAGACTCAAAGAGCGAGAGAGTCCTGTTCGGTGAAGCATCAAAAGAGGTAATAGATTTCCTCTTTAGTTTGCTTTGCTTGCCTCTGAGTACCATCACAAGGCTTTTAAACAAGAATGACATGCTTGGAAGCATAGGCAATCTCTATCAAAGTGTTGAAAATCTGAGCGACACTTACATGCAACCAAATCTATGCAAGGATGTACTTTTGAAGCCAAGAGCCCCACAAATCTCAGCTCTTCTGCCCTCAAATGATGAAAGTGTTGATCAAAAAGAAAATTCATTCTACATGTGCCGAAACCGCTGCAATTATAGTGTGACATGTGATAATAAGACTAGTTGTCCTAACTGTGGGAATACTATGAGCTATGGAATACCTTATGTTGGAAACAAGGTTGGTGGAGATGTATTTCCCAATAATGATAAAAATGGGTATGTGAAGGAAGTTGTTACTTATATGATCATGGATGATTTAGTCATTCAACCTATGTCTACCATATCAAGTATTGTCTTACTCAACAAGTTCAATGTCAAAGAGGTTTGTGACTTGGAAGAAAAAGTGGTTGAGTTGGGGATGGATCAGGTATATATATGTTATGCTTATAAATAATTTAACATGTTTCACTTCCCTTTTTTTTGTGTATTGATAAACATGTTTTCAGGGCATCAATATTCTCAAGGCTTCTCTACAATCCAAGATGGTGCTCACAAGTGCTTTTCTGAAGAACAGTACGGGATCCTAGATATTTAAAATGTTTTAGTTTTCTGATCATTAAAATAGTGTCTTGAAAGCTTAGGTCTATGTTATTATCTGCTTTGTTTTCTTTTATATTTTGAATCAATGTTATTGTTCTTGTTTTGTTGCCATATATACATGAACATGCTGCTCATTTATTTTAAGTAATTTATTTTTTTGAGTTCTTAAGTGCATTTAAAATGAACCATAGTATCCATAGTATCCGATATCATAGAACCTTACCAATTACCATGAAGCCTGCTCCAGTCCTAGTGACTCAGAGAGCCTCTCCAAAACTTTTAGTAGCAAATTAAAAAAATTCTAATGTTACTGTATATATTTTTTTATTATAAATTAATTGTTTTTTGTAATAGTTTATATTTGGTTTTGTTGAAAGAGGTTTTGAAAGGAAGAAATTGACAGTTTTGAAGGAAAAAATTTGTTACAAAATTTCTTTCCTTTATTTTATTAATAAAAATTGTTATAAAACTTATTCTCTTAATATTATTAATAAATAAAGTAACACTTTGATGATTTTATGTCTAAATCACATATGAACATTAAATTTTAGTTAAAAAATCAAAGGGTGGAAGCATTAATTTAAACTAATCACCTTTAATTTTTAATTTTTTAATTTATCATGCAGTATTACTTTAGTATGAGATGGCTCAGTATAGTATGAGTATGAATCCCACTGGTCTGTGTAGAGCATATGGTGCAATGGTTTAGTCACTCTGAGGTCTCAGGTTCCATACATGACCTCCTCAAGTATCAATCACATTCATCATGCGAGGCCATACTGTACGTTAAAAATACTGAAAGAAAAAGAAAGATTCCTTTGTGCTGATAAAGTTTCCCATTATGGATTTAAAAAGATGTGTTAATGATTCAGGATGACTTTGTTATTTTGTTTTATAGGTAGCACTTCTGTTGCAAATATATATAAATACTCTTTCACTTGTTTTCTCCCAAACTCTCTTCTTCCTCACAAATTCTCTGACCTTTGTGGCTGATTTCTTTTCTCTCTAGCTGAAGCTGTGAGTGAACAAGGAGGTTCATCTCTCAAACTTGAAACCGTTTGGTGCTAGCTGGGTGCGGATTCTCTTCTTCTTCCTTTTCTCTTCCCGGAGCTCGGAATCGTCTCACCGAAGTAAGGAAAGCTAGGTTCGCGCTATTTTTGGCTGTAACTGAGTCCAGGAACTCATTTGCTGTTTGATAATTGATGGTTTTTGGCTGAAATTGCTAAAGAAGGGGTTTCGGGGTTTTTCGGGGTTTGGTGAAAAATTTGGGATTTTCCTTGTTTGTAGTTGCATGTTGAAAAAACTGGTATTTTTTAGCTGTTGGATGAAAATGTGGAGTTTTGAACCGATTGCATGTGTTTGGATGACTTGATTTGTGCAGGTTGATGAAAATTTTCGAACTGGTGAGAGTTGCGGTTTGAATTTGCGTCGGGCGTGATTTAAAATGGGGAATCCCTGTGTGAATCACGCCGAGCGTGGGGAGAACCACGCCGGGCGCACTATCAGATGTGAATCTCGTGTTTTTGTTACTGATACTACGCTGGGCGCAGGATAGTTGTGCTGGGCGCAATAGACCTCTGTAGGTCTCTGATTGAGAATTGCGCCGAGCGTGATTTTGATGCGCCGGACGTGCAGTTTCCTTTCAGAATTTGACTTGATGGTCTGCATGAAAGTTGTAGCCTTGGATGTTAGCTTTCCAATGGCGCTGGAAACATCCAAAAAGGAGTTCTAAAACTCCAGATATGGCTGTTTTAGTGAAGAGGAGTCAAGCTATCAATATTGCTTATAGTTGTTGCCGTTTTTATCATTTTTTTACAATGATTTGTGTTTTCTGGTGTGGCGCCAGGCGCGAGCATGTCGCACTGGGCGCGTGAGACTCCTTGGAGTCTCTGCCTAGGCATGCGCTGGGTGCAAAGCTGAATTGCGCCAAGCGCGTGAGAGCCTTGGGCTCTCTGGCTGGGTCACGCCGGGCGCGAGTACTCTTGCGTCAGGCGCGCTGGCCCCTGGTGCTATCTAGTTGTGTCACGCCGGGCGCAACCATGAGTGCGTCGGGCGCGTATGATGATGATGACTTATATGCTGATAGCTGTTAAATTTTGCTGAAGTTGTTGATAGATGTTGTTTTAATGCTGAAGTTGTTGATAGATGTTGTTTTAATGCTGAACTAAGTTGAAATTGATGAATATGTTGTGCTGACGAGATGATAATGCTGACTAATGATGTTAAACAGAATTAGAGGTATATTACTGTGCTGAGTTGAGCTGTTATTGCTGATAATCTGAGTTGTGCCGAATGTTGTTTATGTTGATTTAAGCTGATAATGATGAATGTTGTTGAGTTGAGCGATGATTTTGATGTGCTGTGAGATGTTTATGCTGCATTATTGATGTTAAGCTATATTTGAGGTATATTGTTGTTTGTAAGTTGTTTAGCTGTGTTGTGCTATACTGTAAGTTGTTCAGCTGTGCTGTGCTGTAAGTTGTTTAGCTGTGCTGGATGCTGATATTGCTGTGCTCTAGAATGATGAGCTGAGTTGTGAGTAGTAAGCTGTGTTGAATACTACTTAGCCGTGATGTATGTTGATTTGCGGTGTTGTGCTGTGAGCTGTTTGGCTGTGTTGTGTTAGCTGAGCTGTATGCTGTGTATGGCCACTATTGTGGTGCTGTTCTAGCCGCTATGTCGGTGCTGTTATTAGTCACTGTTGTGGTACTGTTCTAGCCGCTATGTCGGTGCTGTTATTAGCCACTATTGTGGTGCTGTTATAGCCGTTTTGTTGCTGCTGTTATAGTCACTAGTGTGGTGCTGTTATAGCTGCTATGTCGGTGCTGTTGTTAGCCACTATCGTGGTGCTGTTATAGCCGCTGAGCGGTACTGATATTGCTGATAATTGTTGAAATGTTGTGGTGTAGTATAAGCTGATTGATGTGCTGATAGCTGTAGCTGTTTACTATTCATATATTTATATATGTATGTTATTTCTTTTCACTAGCTTACCCTTTGTTGTTTTCATGGTATTTGGACTGCAATGATCATACTATGTATGAGGGCAGAGCAGGGATGAGTTGGTGGCGGATAGTGAGTCTGTAGCTGGCAGACGGAGTTGATCTTCTAGGATCTTTCGATGTTTAGCTACTTAGTGTAGTAGCTTTTTATGTATTTTGTACACTTTAACTCTATCCAGATTTGAATCATGTATATGTATTTATTTGTAGACCCTATATGTATACACTTGTTCCTTTCTGTGTGGTGTTTCTAGTGTGTTGTGCGGTGTGTAGTGACCAGTTGGGTCGTTACAAATAGATCCATGTATGTGTTCAATCTCCACCACACGACTTTTGCAGCTTTTATGCAAAGATACACATGCTTGGACCGCTGCTCTTTAAATTGCATTCAATACCAGATACACAGATACACATGCCACTCATTTTCTTTCTTCTTTTTCTTTATTTTAGTTTCTAAATTTATTTTGATTCTTTATATATAAAATGTTTATTTTCATCTTTTATATTTTATATTTAATTCAATTTAGTCATCTTAAAGTAACCATAATTTTTAATTTTATGACATAATTTTGAATGATTCAATTTGGTCTTTAAGGGTAGTTTTGGTTCAATTTGTTAATTGCATGAATTAATCTCCTTTGGACATGTGACATGAACCTAGGAAGCTTTAGAATTTACGAACCCAAAAACAAATGAGTTTTCATTCACCATTTCTCTACATCTCAAACTCGATGTCCTTATCTTGGGCCACGAGGGTCAGTTGAAACAGTGATCCCATTTATACGTTTGACAAAAGGCCCAAGTAGAACAGGCCCAATACGCATGGGAGAGCAGAATCCGATAAAAATCTAAACCCAGCCTTTCATTTCATCTTCATTCTTCATCGTTGAGTCGTCTCACTGTGACACCATGCCCTCTCTAGCGTTGAGAAGCGACGTAGCTTCGGCCTTCTTCGGCCTCGCGTATCGAAACCCTAAACCCTTCACCTTCTCACTACAAACCACACTTCTCCCTCTCCTACGCAGAACAACCACAACAACAACCTACTCTCTCTCCGCAACATTCCCTCTCACACCCGCTCGCCGCTTCTCCCTCGCCGCCACCGCCTCCGCCTCCGCTCCGCCTCAATCCGACGACTCCGACGTCTCCACCGCCATCCCGCCCGACAATCGCATTCCCGCGACCATCATCACCGGCTTCCTCGGTTCCGGCAAGGTATCTATCAATCCTATTTTCTATTTCTTACGTCCGAATTGGTTTTCACGTTAGGCTAACTTATCTGAGCAGACCACGCTTCTGAACCATATTCTGACCGCGGAGCATGGAAAGCGAATTGCGGTTATCGAGAACGAGGTATGTATTATGCATTCGTGGTTGAGAGTTTGCGGAATCACGTGGTTATGTGAATTTGGATGTGATTGTTTGTAGTTTGGTGAAGTTGACATTGATGGTTCTTTGGTCGCGGCCAAAGCTGCTGGCGCTGAAGATATTATGATGTTGAACAATGGCTGCCTTTGCTGCACTGTCAGGGGTGACCTTGTCCGAATGATTTCCGAATTAGTCGCCAAGAAGAAAGGAAAGTTTGACCATATTGTTATTGAGACTACAGGTAACTGAATTTTGTGTGCGATTCTTGCCCTGACTTGCATATTGTTGAACTGAGGTTTTCATTTGGTAGACTTTATTCTTAATTAATATAGATGTCATGGACCTCCTCATTAGTTACTCCCTCCAAGTCCTGTATAAAGGGCGGCCCAGTGCACGAGGCTCCCACCTAGTGGGGTCTGGGGAGGGTAGATGTACGCAGCCTTACCCCCGCAAGCGGAAAGGCTGTTGCCAGGACTCGAACCCGTGACCTCTTGGTCACTAAGCAGCAACCTTACCGTTGCGCCAAGGCTCACCCTCCCTCCAAGTCCTGTATATAAGAAACAAATAACCCATTCATCAAAAAACAATAAGATTAGTTAAGGTGGTTAATTTTTATTAATTATGTCATGAAATTAAATTTTATTCCAAAAACACCCTTAGAATTGGATGATTTATAGAATGGTTACATTTATCGGCACTACATCTAATTCAAGGGATAACTTTTTTCTCCAATAAGTATAATTTCTATGGTTAATAGATCAATAAATGCTTCAACTTGCATGAGGGTAAAAAGGAAGTTGGTAATTGTTACACTGTAAAATGGGTCTTTGTTTCTTATAATTAATAATTAGGAGCAAAAAAGAATATCTATTTTTTTTTATTTATATATATAGGACCAGAGAGAGTATTACTGTTGTACATAGTGTGATTTTTTTCGTTGTTTGTACTTCGACAGGTTTGGCAAATCCGGCACCAATAATTCAGACCTTTTATGCAGAGGAAAATATTTTTAATGAAGTCAAATTGGATGGTGTTGTTACTTTGGTCGATGCGAAGCATGCTGGCTTTCATCTTGACGAGGTTAAGCCAAAAGGTGTGGTCAATGAGGCAGTGGAACAGATTGCGTATGCAGATCGAATAATTGTAAATAAGGTATTGTTGACTAATTTGTTCTTATTTCTGAATGGATTTAGTTGTGTGATAATTAAACATTTGGATTATTTAGAAAAGGGCCAATCATTTTTATTTAGTTTTATCGTAGTATGGTTGACCTTTTTTTGGGTAGATTTTATGTGACATTGTTCTGTAATTCTATTACATTCCAGGTTAGGAAATAGGAAATGAAATGGATATTCTCTTTATGTCTGAAATAGTCGGTTAATATTCTTGTCTATCTTGAACCAGACTGACCTTGTTGGTGAATCGGACATTGCTTCTTTGGTCCAGCGGATAAAGGTTGGTGTCTTTCTCTTCCAGTTGTATCTTGGAGTCTAGTTTGTATTTTAATTTTATTTCATTATTGTGCCCCATATGAACTTGGCTGTGTTTCTAATTCAGAATATAAACGGCTTGGCCCACTTAAAGCGGACAGAGTATGGAAAAGTTAACTTGGATTATGTTCTTGGCATTGGGGGCTTTGATTTGGAGAGGTAGTTTTTTGTTATTGTTTCCTATTTCCTGTATTTGAATTGTTTAAGAAAAAGGAATCTGAATTTGGCTTACTTGTTCTCTGCACAAGGAGGTTCTTGTTAATCACAGGGTTCCTGCGTGACTGTCCCCCTTTCATATATAATATCTGTCTTTTTTATACTGAAATAATTCTCATTTTTGTTGTTGACCATTCATATTGAAATTATTTTCATTTATCTCCTATTCATATACATGTATCTTTAAGAACTGTTGGTGTTAATTCTTGTCCTGAATTGCAACAACGCTCTTAGTAGTCCTCACTTTCCTCCAACTTTGTCATATTTCTTGCTTCAGTGCTATGTATTCCATAACCTTACCTGGATATTTCGACTTCTTTGCTTCAATACTATCATTACCTTTCTGTTGCCTAAACCTTCAGATATGATTTGTGTGTTTCCTCTTTATCTTTTACAAGGATTGAGAATGCCATTAATGATGAAGATGCAAAAGAAGATCATGGGCATGACCATAGCCATGACCACGAGCATGAGCACCATGATCATGATCATCACCACCATCACCATGATCATTCCCATGACCACAAGCATGGTACCTATTAATTTGTCTTGATTCAGCTGTTTTACCATCTCGTTCTTGTTTGTAGTACTAGTCACAATGCACTGGTGCCCATGTCTTATGAGTCTTACTCTTACAAATGAGTGTTTAACTTATTTAATTACACATTCTATTTGGATGGCTATAGATGTATATTATTTCCTCTAATTTTAATATTTGGATGGCGATCATTTCTTTCCTTGTTGCTTCTCAATTCACGAGGACAGCTTGTAGAATACTTTTATTTATTGTCTAGTTGGGAATAAAATTCATTTTGTTTTGTGTACAGAACACCATGATCACCACTCTCGTGATCATAGTCACGATCCTGGTGTTTCTTCTGTCAGCATAGTTTGTGAAGGAAGCTTAGATCTTGAGAAGGTTAGACATTGATGTACACTTAATGCTAAGTGAATCAATTTCTCGTTTACATTTGGAATTTTGGGGAATGCCTTCTATTTCAGATGTATATGTAAATGTTGGCATTTTTTGTGTGTACTAAAAGGCTATCTTTTTCAGGCTAACATGTGGCTTGGTACCTTGTTGCTGGATCGTAGTGAAGACATTTATAGAATGAAGGGTCTTTTATCTGTTCAAGGAATGGATGAGAGATTTGTCTTTCAGGTAAATTTAAATATCTTTACCGTGATGGGATTGTGACATGGATGTTGAATGAATTCCTTTAAAATTTGCAAGTCTTTGCTATTTATGTTGTTATTATTATTCGTGGAATGAAAGATAGCTTTTTCTGTAACAGGGAGTTCATGACATATTTCAAGGTTCACCTGAAAGGTTGTGGGGGCCGGATGAACCAAGGATAAACAAAATAGTATTCATAGGGAAAAACTTGGATGCTAAGGAATTGGAAAAGGGATTCAAGGCCTGTTTACTATGATGATACTAACAGGATCAATACAGTGCTATTATTATCTCTCTTTCGGCGGATGATGTATGTTGAAGATGAGTGTGCCATGTGGAACGCTGAAATGATTGTTGTTTTAAGAGCTTAATCTTTGTGGAGAAAATTACACGAGAACATCGAACTTGTACAAATTAGAGGACCTTAATCAAAAGTAATGACAACATGAATCAATTCATGTTAGCTATTATTAATTTTACTTTTGGATGTCATAACAATGAAAGTTCCCATCAATTATTTATCTCTTGTATTTTTAACCTCCATACAGAATGTTAACCACTATACAGAATTTCATACATCAATCAATCACAACCACTACAGTACGTCGTCGCATAATTATCATACATTCTTCCAAGTTTATTTTGCAGAAGCTATAACCAGCGGAATGTGACATTGGGCAGTAATTAAACTAGATGAATTCCAGTCTATTTTATATTAAAATTCAAAATATGATATAAATCTCAATATAGCAGAAAAAAATTTCTATATTATTAATTTTTTTTTAATAATTATGTTCTTCTAAAACAGTCTAAGGTTCACATCAAACAGGGACAACAAGAAGAATTTTAAATTTGTCATTTTTTCCTTCCATTATACTAGATCCTACTCTATCCACAACCTTAACTGTAGCATTTACCATAGTTCTATGCAATGCCTCCAATAACTACAACATATGATTCAAAAACATGAATCCGGTGCAGATAAGGATACCCTACCCTTAAAAAAAAAAAGAAGGAAGAAAATCTAATTAATAGCTTACAGACCCAACAGTGTATGATGCACAACATGGAATTGAAATTGGAAATGCCCGTTTGCCATCTAAAATGGCAAATTTGATTATATCTCTTCATTTGGTTCACGTAATGTGAAATAAATGTTAGTTTTTTTATAAAAAAAAAAATTTGAGCACACAATTGCTAGTTCACACTCAATAGTCATAATTTTTTTTAAAATATCATGTACTAAACACCAAAAGTTGAAAAATAAATTAAACATTAATTTAAGATGTAATATTAATTTTTTAATTAAACTAATTTATAAAAAAATATAAATTTGTCATCAAATATTTTATATAAAAGGTTAAATTATATTTTTAGTCTTTTATCTTATTTCTTAGATTTATTTTAGTTATTTAATTTTTAAAATATTCATTTTGATTCTTTATTTTCTAAATTTATATCATTTAGTATTTTATTTTTTTTTAAACAAATTTAAGACTTAATACTTGTTTCATAAAATTTACTTATTCAAAAATTATTGAATGCAATTATAATTCAAACCTAAATTGTTATAAACATGATAAAAAAAATAAATTTAAATTGAAATTTATATTATTTTATTTCGTTTTTGTGATATATTTTTCACACAAATTTTATTGGAATGTTTATAGTCCTTTTAGATTTGAACGCTAATTATATTTTATAATTTTTATATAAATGAATTTAATATTATAAATTTCACATCTTAAATAAATTAAAAAAAAATTATTTACAATTATGTTGAAAAATTAAAATTAATTGTTATTTTAAAATATTTAGATTGATTTAAATATAAAAGATAAATAATTAAAATAAATATTTTAATATATAAAAAATCAAACGGAGAAAAAGTTTAATTTAACCACGAAACTAACGTGATAAAACAAATTTAGTGATAATTTTAAGAAAAAAAAATCAAACATTAATGCTTAACCCTAAACTCGCATAAATTCATTTGTCCAAAAAACAGAACCCACAGAAATTCGATCATTTTTCACTTTCCTGATTTTCGGCTTCGTGTGCCCTAGCTCTGGTCTCTCCCGTAGTCACCCAATCACCGGAAACTGAAAAGGTAAGTTTGTTTGTAATTTTTCCATTTTGGATATTTGCTTGCTTATCGTGTTAGTTTTCTGCTGACTGCTGCTAAAAAATACGATGATTAAATTTTTTCGTCGCATATCTGAAACATTGAGGAAATAAATTTGTGAAATTGGGAACAAATCGCAAGATATATATGTGTGTGTGAGAAAATGTTGTAATTGCAGAACAGATTGCACTTGCTTTGTTTTGATGTGAAAATACATGTTCCTTGGAATAATCTCTCTGTGAGTAACGATTTTTATTCAATTTTTCAAAAAATATTTATATTTAGGTAACATTATGAATATCAATTTCACTTCTGGAGGATACTTATGAAACTTTTTTTTTTTTTTGAGAGCGGGTGGGGGGAGTTAACCAAATTATACAGCTTGCGCTTGGGAACATTTTGACAAATGGGAGCATAGATTTGGTTCATTTCTTTACAATTGGTGCATTTTCAATTTCTGATCTAGCCTGCACTAGCTCTTGATCTGGACTGCGTTTTCGATTTCAGTTTCACAATTTAGTCACATACCATAGAACGATAAGAAAAATGGTTTTAAAGCAATAACTTGTTTATTTCAGATATTGATGTAACTTCCATAATTGGTGTATAAGAATCTTGATTCTCATTAGGCACACTGATCTTAGCATCATTGTTATGGAGTTGGTTATGTTGTCTTTCTGAAAAAAGATATTGTGGAATCATTTGATAACAACAGTTATTTTTCCATTGTTTTGGATATAAAAACGTGAACAATTATATGTGAGGGACTCGATCCCCTTAAGCAAGATTTGTAGTTCAAGTTTTGTGAATAAAAAAGATGTGACTAAGAGAGGAGATCCTACCAAAGGTGGCCTGTTGGATTTTTCGGTGCAGATTAGTCATCGATAAAGTCAGTTGATATTTTGCACCAATGATATGTTTACTAAAAAAAATTATGTGGGGGATGCTGACATTAACCTCTCTTTAGTGTTCTGGTTTCTCATAGCACTAGTCTTGAAGTGTGTCCAATCCTGTTATTTTACAAATTGTGATGTGATACATAGATGCATTTATGAATAATTTTTGTGAGTGATACCAATGTTAGAATTCAGAAGCTTGCCTCTAAGTCCATTGTGTGTCACTTCAGTTAAATTTTTAATAAATTATGTGCTGTTTTAGCTTTCCTCACTTTTCAGTTTTAATGTTTTAGACTCTTTGGACATTGTACATTATGGTGAATGAATGCTGAATGTTCTTTTTTTTTGTTTCTTTCGACTATCCTGCAAAAGGGTTTACAACCAGAAGAAAAGAGAGGAAAATATGGGTTTCATCATGGAATTCGCAGAGAACTTGATATTGAAGTTGATGGAAGACCCAAAGGAAAGGGATCGCAGGTTCAGAGAGCACGTTTATAAAGTGAAGGACAGATGCGAGAAGACGAAGGAGATGTGGAGCTATCCTATGCGACCCTATGGGTTCTGGACATTTGAGCGCCACAATTCTCAGCTTGCGTGGGATGCCCAGATTAGCCAAGTGGCTGGCAGGAGGGATCCTTATGATGATCTCCTCCAACATTACTTTGCCCCACCTAAATGAGGTATGCATTTGGAATTCAAAAGTGAATTTTCTTTTTCTTGTTTATGTTCTTTTCATTTTGATTGGAGTTTTCTTTCTTTCTTGGGTGGTCAAGAACTGTGCAGAGGGTGCAATATACATTTTCAGTGCTAGTATGTTAGTCTTTTGAGGCTGATATTTTTCTGTCTACTTGCTTATATGAATACATTATGTTGGTTTACAATTAGAGAAAATGTTCTTTTTGACCTTTGGGTTGGGATTCTGTTGTTGTTTAGGATGAGAGTTGATGGTAAGCTCAATGTTGAAAATATGAAAGTACATCCACTTGGACAACAATCAATTTTCATACTTCCTAACCCTAATTCAGCAACTATTTTCTTTGCTTGGTAAATATTTTTAGGCAAACAATTGCCATCTGGAATTATATCTCCCATAAATTCCATCCATTCATTAAAACATCCTTCGGATAAACCATAGTCTATTTTCAAAGTTAAAGCTCTTAAAGAAGCGGACAATATAGAATATTTATCACGACCATCCCATAAAGGAGATTGTGCATCCTTCAACATTTGAAAGAATTTTTATGCTTCTACGTTTGGATCTTCCATCATTATGTTGTTGTTGTCATCATCATGTTGGTCAAGGTGGGTGCCAATTTCTGTTCTAGCAGCATCCATGACCAATTGTTGATAATTATCAAACATTTCCCTAGGCCCATTATTAGCATAATATGATTGATCTACAACCATAGGAGGAATTGGGGGCATTGGTTCACCATGATTTGTCCAATGATAATGTTAGTCATGAATCCTTTCTTGCAAAGATGCACCCTTACTAAGTCAGGTGTTTCATATCTCCTACACTTACATTTCTTACAAGGGCACCTAATCTTCCCTTGTCCAATATCATGTTCATCGTGTTCCAAAGCAAAATTCACAAATTCATTAATTCCGACAATAAATTCTTTTGTGATACTTCTATGACAATCCACTCTATTATCCATCCACCTTCTATTTTCAAGAATATTCATTTCTGATGCATATAATAAGACAAAATTAATTATTATAACAATTTTAATCTATTTTCTCCTGTGACACTCCT